TATAGTGCAATTGAAACTAGTTATGTACATGCAAATTCAAAAAAGGTGAAGGAAATGCAATTGAGAGAGAGCAAGGAATTAAGAAAATCACCTGGTACTTGAGTGTTTCTCTTGGAGGAGCTTCTTCAACTGGTTTTGCTGCCATTTGAGAAAGTAAGGGACTAGTGAAGTTGATCTCAAGTGTGTGTTTTTGTTGATTGCCTTAGATTTTTAAAGGTGTGAGGTAGATACGGAGGAATGAATAAGGATCATCTCCATTAATGGATAGTCAAGTGTCATATAATAAAAAATAAAAGACAATATGTAATGATACTTTTTCCTTCTGCTTACTATGAAATCACATTTTTGTTATTGAAAACATGATGAAAAACAATCACTCACCTCTTTATTGATGGAGATGATCTTTGTTCACGAGTAATAAGAAGCAATAAATAAGTAAAAAAAAATGGTTATCTGTGCATGTGAAATCTTTTTCAAAATTTCTATTTAGAATAGAGTGTATAAGACTCCCACTTGTCTAAGTTTGAAAAACATAGATATACTTGTAGTCTTTAATCATAACAAAAATGTTTTTAGGAAAAAATAACTCATAACACAACTTTACCTCAGATATTTTCAAAAGATGAGAGATTTATTAACTTAAAAATAGTAAATTTTTTAAATTTACTTCACATTTTAGTCATTAATTCTTGGTTTAGGCCTACCCACTAATTTCAACAATTGGATTTTCCAAGAATTGATGCCTAAAATGTAGAATAAATTTAAAAAACTTAAAAACTTTCTCTTAGAGTGAATGATCCTCACCCTTTTCAAAATTTGAACATATAACATTCTTAATCCTTAAATATAAACATTACCCATAATTTTCCAAGATATGGCATGATAAAATTGGTTTTTGATTGCATTTATTTCAACAGCAACTCACCACAATATCTTAAACAAAATGAGGTGTTCTCAAGTTTTTACCATTAAGTTCAATAAAAGTGTGCAAAAAATGTGGGGTCCTATGAATAAACTTTTGTGGAATCTTACATCTGTCATATCAAACAGATTTAATGCCTTCATCACCTTTTAGTACAACTCATTTTCTGTCTCTGATAGCAGAGCTTCCTTAGACTAAAAACCACACAATATATGGGTCCACTCTCCATAGATCCATTGTCATATATTCGAGTAGTGGCTAGAACCTTCATGTTGTTAACCTCACCCTAGTTAATCAATATTACATTTCAACTAATATAAGATAAAATGTAATAGCACAAAGTGATGGCCAATGATATTATTGGGAAGTAAGTTTCACATCGACTACCTTATTGTTTCGGGAATGGTTTAAATACATGTTGAGCTACTTCTCTCATTGCTAATTGATTTTGAGATAAAACCCTAACATGATATCATATTCTAGAGTTCAACTTCTTTTCGGATGTCATAGGCTAAAAAATACCCTCACATGGGTAACTTTATTTATTATTATTTACTTAAAAAAATGTATTTTGAAAGGTTGAGATTTCACTATTTCAAGCAATTTATGACTGCAACAGTTTGAAATCCAATATGAACCCAATCACTTTATTAACTTTCATAACTTATTTGGTGTCTGTGTGAGTTTTTATTAATGATGAGTGTAAAGATAAAAGATGAAAGTAAAATGAGAGTTAGAGATAATTTAGTTTGTTGTAAAAGAAATTATAAAATTTGAGAAATACAAATAACACCTATTAATATAGTTATACAAAGCTAAGTTTTCTACTTCTATATAATGTAATGACTTAACTATATACACAACGTTTATATTTATACAACAAAATCAAATATTCGATTCCTATAAAATAGACAATGGTATAAGGTTTTACTGAATATCTAAATAAACTATGAAGTCAAATGTTCAATTCCTGTGAATGACACTTGTTACCGAAGAAGTCGAAAAATAGATTGTATTCTTGTGTTTACTTTCCTGGTGAATGGTTAGCTGGCTTGGTTGATAACTAATGATGAAATCTGATCTAACCTATCCCCACCACAGTACTGAAGTAGCAGCATTGGCAGACAATAAATAAAGTTTTAGAATTCAGATCATATCAACCAATCACCATCCAATAATTTCTCCTACCCAAACCAATTTTCATGTTTACTAATAACTTCTTCATTTATTCATTCTATCTAATAAATGCATAATTACTAGCTTCTTGTAGTAGCTTTTCTTTCTAAAAATTAACTCAATCTACTTTAAACAGAAAATTACTTAAATAGGCAAAATTAGATATGCAACAAGAGATCTTGATTTTATGTCACTCTTTCATTGTGATTCATTTCACATACAATACACCAAGTTGTATAAACATGGTAGCTTAGTGTACGAGCCTCCCTCCCATTTAGCATTGTCTCAAAAGAGTTAATGTACGCAGTCTTACTCTCATAAGCGAAGAGACTATTCCTAGAATTTGAAAACAAGAACTCTAAGTCCATAGAAAATAACCTCACCATTGCGTTGTAACTCACCCCTTAATACTTCAAAAATTATATGCCTAGAAGAGTATGAAACTTTCCACCATCACCATTATCTAATTTTGATTGAGTAAATTACACTCATACCCTATGAGTTTTAGTGAAATTACACAAATCACTCATCACTTTTTTGTCCTTACACGAACTACCCCTAATTTTGTACATATGTTACACTGACTACCTCTGCATGATATAAAAGTATAATATTTTAAACAAAAAACGTATGATGTGTGTAATTAATTAAACAAAATATTGTATATTGTGTAGAAAAATTCAAATAATATAAGAGTCAATTTATATTCATTATTTGGCTCGTTATAAAATAGTATAAGAGTTATTTAAACATGTATTTGAAATTATTAATGTATTTTTTAATGACACAAAAATAATAAAGAAACATTCGCTTTTATACTATTTGAAGTGTTACACAATATACAATATTTTGTTTAACTTAATTACATTCATCACACGTTTTTCTTTAAAATATTACATTTTTATAACATACAAGGCTAGTCAGTGTAATGTATGTATAAATCTAGGGGTGATTTGTGTAGGAGGAAAGAGTGGTTAGTGTAAAGACAAAGAAGGAAGAAATGATTTGTATAATTTCATTAAAACTCAGGGTGAGTGTAATTTATTCATTTTGATTCACTAACTTTACACTTTGGTGGTTTTAGACCAATCTGGAACATAATTAGCCATTATTGAAAATTAATTGTCCAGCAATGACATCAACCAATTCAAGATTAGTCAGAGTGATTTGAAGTCACAAAAACTACCAAATTGCAAAGTCAGAGAATCCCAATCTAGCAACTACTCCATTGAATTAGAAACCATTAAATCAATTAACCATCTAATCATTGCAAACATCCCAGACTAACTCCGTCCGAAACAGAAGTTGGTTTAGTAATATAATGCTCTTAGATCTTCATATATTATACTAAGTCAAATGTTCAATTCCTGAAAGCGACATTTGTTAGGAACAGAACCACACACCTCAAAAATAGATTAATTCCTTATTTATAAGGTGGAGAGATACCATTCGATATACAAAAAAAAAACTACACTTTAATTTGAGTGTACTTTATATATTGATGGGAATCTGGTCTACCATACAATGCCTTAAGCATATTACAATTCATACATACTACCAAATAAAGCCCTAGCAAGAATATACCCTATGTAATTATGCATGTCACAACCCTCATTTTAGAATTAACAAGTGAAAGCAAATTGCAAAATATAATAGTGGTGTTGCAAAAAAAAAAAAAATACAGCTATAACATTCAATATAAGAACAAAAACATACATATCAATAATGTATGATATCATAATAGACATAAAGTTATGATCCACTTTACTTAAGGTAATGGTTTTGACAGGCTTTTAGTAAAATGACCGGTGAGTACAATTATCAATTTTCTTTTCTCATCTTCCTTTACCCGTAGTTGTAAAAATCGGTTTGTGCCGGCCGGTTCAACCGGTAAATCGGTGAATCGGTCTCAATATCGGTACGGTACAACAATTATATCGGTCATGCAATAATACCGATCAAAACTGGTCATACCGGCCCGTTTTCAATTGAACCGTACCGGTCAAACCGGTCGATTTTTATTTAAAATTAATTTTTTAATAAAAATAAAATTATTATTATTTTTTAACATTAATGTTAATATATTATATATGTATATTAACTTCACCAGTATGCAGTTTAATTAGTGAACCACTGGTTGAACCGCTATATCACTATACAAGTACCCCTACCAGTCCAAGAAGGGCCGCTCAAACTACAAGGCGGGTTGATTGAATCCTTACACTTAATTGGTTTTATTACCATATATTGCTTTCTTTCTATACCATATGTATAGTACCTCGAAGAAGAATAGGCCAGCTTGTCGTGCGCCAACCGCTTCATTAGTCCACTAAATTTAATTAGTCCATTTTCCCACTCTATACGTTCGTCGGTCAAAGACCAACTATGATATACTAGTCTCAGGCACTAAAACGTATGAAAACCTAGAAAAAATGAGCGTATTATGGCACGGGCAGTCTCTCGCTCCCCCATAAAAAAACTTGTAATACCAACTCCATTTGGAATTCCATCAATTACTTGTCTATCAAAAAAAGAATTAAGTTTAGCTAATTGTCTGACACTCGCAATTAAAGATATTCCATAAAAAGCATCTATGTAACCCCGATTATATGACCAATCATATATGACATTTCGTATTTTATCTGCAACCGTTTTTTTAAGAACGTTTTTTTCAACTAAATTAAGTAAGTTCAAATTTTGTAAAGGCGAATAAACAGGCTTATAGAAAAAAGATGCTATAAATATTCCGAAAAAAGCTAGACTTACTGAAAAAGTAGCATTTGTGAAAAATTCATACCAATCCACAGAATTATTTGAATTTTGATAACTGGTACGGTATTAATAACACAACAATACCAACAAAGTTTTAGTCTGGTGTAGTATCAACTAATTCATTCAAAAAGATCGCCATTGCCGGGGATCAAACCCAGGTCACCCACATGACAAGCGGGAATACTTACCACTCTACTACAACAACTTGTTAATAATCAACATGAACCATGAGATACATAAATAAAATAAACTGACGCAAAATAATTGAGTCTTCTTTGTTAATGCAGTTAGTCCACTATTTCTTCTTTCAGTCACCACAAATTTCGCATTTCTCATCGCTTATGCACACTTTTATTTTTATGAACCAAACCTAACTTCTTAATTGTTTAATTACTCAATAATAACTCGAGATTTTGTTTTTAATACATGTCAATTTTAAAAAATAGATTCTAATTGGGTTTCTGAATTATTAAATCAGTTTTCAAATAATTTAGAGACCTATTAACTAATTAAATTTATTTTAGTTTAAAAAGTAATCTTTTTAGTGGAACACATTTTTAGTTTAAAAAATAATATTTCTTTAAAAACACATTTGGTGTGCCTTTTGATCTCTAATATCTGATAAAGTGTCCTACACTTTTGTTCCCATTATCTATATATGGTTCACATTCATCATAGGCATTAGTATTAAGAATGGTGTATTACTATATCATCAACTACTTATTTGAATTATTTTTTAAAAGAATCAATGATAATAATTAAACATGAACGGTAGATAATGTAATAAAACTCATTCAACATCAATATATATATATATACATGTATACAATTGATATACCCTCCTATTCTCTTGCATAATGTATGCATATACGTGTGACTCCAATTCATTCTTAATCTTGTCACTACCCATATAAAAAACTAAACATTTGACATACTTTTTATTTATTTATTTTAGGTTTGTTTGCGAATTGAATTTTGAAAGAATAAAAAATGGAAGAAAAAAAACTTGGGAGCTAGCTCAAAAATCTTATTTTTCCTTTTATTTCTCATCTAAAACTTAATTTATAAACGAACCCTTACAAACTGAGCCGTTAGTTAGTGATATTGGATATTGCATACTTAGTCCATACAAATAAGTATGTGATCATGAGTCATGACATACCCTGCTATTATATTTGCTTCCATGGGATAGTCCCTTTTCTTCATTAAAACAATGACCTTCTTACACATTCTACAATGATAAAAACATGTTTGTATTGACAATATAAATTTTTTATATTATGACTATATTATTCACTATTCATATTTAATTATTATTAACTTTTTATAAAAATGTTATACAAATGAATAGTGGATGATGTACCAACTCTGTATAAATCTTTACACTGATAGTGCATAGATATTACACTCTTCTACAATTCCATACCAGGTAAATACTTTACAACTAGTCCCTAAAAGTCAGGGAAGATATATGAGGCATTAAGTGTGGGTGGTTGCCATATAATTTCGACGTATCCTAAAATCTAAATATATTAACATTTATAGCAATTATGGACCCTTGTTGGGCGAATTGAGTTTAGCAAGCTTTCCAATTGTGATAATGGGTCTCTTATCCCCGAGTTCTCTGAAGAGGAGATCAATGAGGATGTTTAGAGTTGTCGTAGCAACAAGAGCCAAAGTCCATATGTGTATAACTTCATATTTATCAAGGAATTTTGAGAACTAATGAGGAGAAATGTCCTCACTATCTTCAAAGATTTTTTCAAGAATGGTAAAATTGTTGCAGAAGTTAATTCAGCTTTCATGTGTCTCATCCATAAGAAGGTGAATCTTATGTCTATAAACAATTATAGGTTGATTTCTTTGATAGGACGTCTATACAAGATCCTCTCTAAAGTCCTTGCAAATCGTCTCAAGCGGGTGATGTACACTGTGATTTCTGATAACAAGTCACCTTCATAAAAGGGAGACAAATTCTTGGTGGAGTGTTGGTGTTGAATGAGATAGTTGATGATACTAGGAGAAACATGAAGAAGTGTGTTATTTTTAAAATAGACTTTACCAATGCTTGCGATATAGTCAGTTGGAGTTTCCTAGATCATATGATAAATAAGTTGGGTTTCAGAATCAGGTGGAGACAATGGATGTCAGAGTATATGTAAACAACTTTCTTTTCTATTTTGGTCAATGGTAGCTCCAGCAGAATGATTAAAATGACGCGTGGTGTTAGACAAGGTGATCATTTGTCCCTTTTCTTATTTCTGTTAGTTGGAGAGGGTCTTACTAGGCTTATGAAGTTCGCGGTCTCGAGAAAAAAGTTTGTAGAATATGAAGTTGATAAGAATAAGGATGGAGTTAACTTACTACCGTATGCAGATGAGGCAATTATCATAGGGAAGTCCTTTGTGCATAATGTTTTAGTTATGAAATATATTCTCAGACTTTTTTAAGCTTGCTCAGGATTGAAGGTCAACTTTGGAAAAAGTAGCTTGTCAGGTATCAACATTCCTTCCAGTTTTTTAGATGGTATGGCAAGATTCTTAAAATGTAAAAAGGGGGTCTTGGCCCATGAAGTTTTTGGGGATCCTGGTGGGTGTTAACTTTAGAAGAAATGAGGTGCGGGAAGATGTGCTCTTCAATATGTTAAAAATGTTGGCTTCGTGGGAAGGTAGATTCTTAACTTTTGGTGGGCGGGTGGTCTTAATCAATGCAGTGCTTAATACGCCAATTTATCATCTTTCTTTCTACAAATCCCTAAGTGTGTGATCAAGGCCATGACTAAAATTCATATAAACTTTCTATTGGATGGAGTTGGGGTTGACAAGAAAATCCTTTGCGTCAAGTAGGACTTAGTTTGTGAGGATCGTGTTAAAGGTGGTTTGAGTGTCAAACATCTTGAGTATCTTGAGTCTTTCAACATTTGGTCTTAAGAGTCCAAGAAGGGGTTCAGATTGTTTCTAATTGGGGTGGAGCAGGTTTTGGGAGGTCCTCTAAAGAAGGTTATGGGGGGTAGGGGGGGGGGGGAGTTTTATAGGGAGGCTTAAGGGTGGATTTAAAAAGTGATGGGGAACATGAATCATACTAGATTTTGTGTGGGAGAAGGTCCCTTGAAGGACTCATTTGGGAGGCTTTATAATTTGAGTTCAGACAAGGGGCTTTGGTGGGGCAATCAGATGTTTGGAAGGAAAGGTTGTGGAACTAAAAAGTACCTTGGAGAAGAGAGTTTTTCGAGTGGGAAAAGCCTTTGTTAGAGGAGTTTCTGCAACTTTTGAGTTTGATGCAGCTAAAGGAGGAGGTTGAAGATGGATGGACATGGATCATGACGTGTCTAATTGTTAATCGGCTAAGTATGCTTACAAAGTTATTTGGCAAGTGGATGAGGCTAGATCAAAGGATCGAAAATTGTGGAGTGTGGTTTTGAAATCTTTGGCTCCTTTGAAGACTCGTGCGTTTGCTTGGAGATAAATCTTGGATAGGATCCATTCTAAATGGAACCTAGCCAAGAGGGATGCTAATTTGTCGAGTAATGATCTTTGGCGTGTTTTGGTGTAAGGCTGAACCAGAAACTGTGGATCATCTTTTTTTCTCTTGCCAATTTTCTTATCGAATGTGGAAACTTCTCTATGGCTGGTTGGGGATTTTGGTGGTGTTACTTTCAACCGGTAAATCTCACTTTTTACAACATTATTCGTCGGTTAAGGGTCATTTAGTGAAAGAAGTTTCTTATGTGCCCTAAATGGCTGTAATTTGGTCTCTTTGGCAAGGTAGTATTGATGTCCTCTTTAACAATTAAAAGATGTGCATAGAGGAACTTATGGATGAGATAAAGTTCAAGTCATGACTATGGATCAAAGGCAAATACATAGGAGCAGCAATGTCTTGGTTTAAATGAGTTTTTAATCATTTATTATGTTTGGATTGTTATTGTTAGGTCTATTTTAGAAGGGTGAGTTTTTGATCTTTTATACATTTTGTTTGTTTTGTATATTAATTTTTCCTGATCGTAATTTTGTTACTCTTTAATAAAATTCTCACTTATCAAAAAAGTAAAAACAATGGACCCAAATTTAAAACCTTAGTTATGATACTTTTCCCCCCTTAAAAACCATCTATAAAAAATTTAAAATTATTAGCATAACCAATCAAATTATCACAAATAATAAAATAGTAATAATTAAAGTTATTATATCAATTTAATATTATGGTATATTAATTTAATTATTCCAATAAAGTTTTAGTCTAATAATGTAAGACTCGATTGTATTTTTAGATAGACTAAAAAGTATAAAGTCTAATTAGTGAAAATGACACTTATTATAAGAGATAGTCAAACATATGAAAAAATTAGTTTTTTATCTATATGTGAAAAACTAAGAATATACCATTTGTTATACAAAAAAAAAAAAAGAGGTTCAAATCTATGGGTAACTCAATTTTTAGTAGGGCTATCTACCCTTAACTCTCATAATAAACTAATTAAGTGGGTTAGGAATAGCTTTTCATGCTTTTAATTTTTTCTCTTCCCTCGGTGAATCATAGCACAAAAGAATCAAACATATTACTTGACAAACACAACCAACGAATCTTAAAGCTCTAAATCTCAAATCCGAACATAAATTTAATTCAATCTCAAATCTCCTATTTTATTAATTCACAATAGAATCAATAATAATTAAACATATATTTTAATGTAATATGCTACATTAAATAGAGCTATTAAAATGAGATATAATCTATGGACTAACTTTAAAGGTCTGCATTTAGTAATAGGACCATTTCTTAATAAAGTTATCTCATAAACCACTAATTAAGCGGTTTAGAAATAATCTAGGGATTATTCCTCTTTCTACCCTTAATATATATATATACTCAAATAAGTGGATCCCGATATCACTAAATCCCAAATTCAAACATATATTTGATTTGGTTCAATTTATCACAATTTCTGTAACACTCTAATCCCTAATTATGACTCTCAAACTTAAATATTCTTGTAGTATTTTATTTTCTTAAACCGAGCCTCAATTGCGGATGTTACACTTTCTCACTCTCACATATAGAATCCAGGTATAAAAACTATATTTATTATTCTTTATTAAGTAATGAACTAGCATATTGCAAAGTTTCCCATTTTATAATTTTCAAAACATCTAACCTACATCTATAATACAACATAAACAAAGTTATAAAATTAAGGGGCTTTCTC